GTTTACTTTTTTATGAAGAGCAAAATCTGCGTAGCTACATAACCTCAAAAATGGGCAAAAACAGCGTTTTTGCACTTTTAGGTTAGGATATCTCAAAATCCTGACGTGATAGAGCAATTTAAACCCCGGATTCGGATTCTACGCAAAAAATTACTTCGAAAATGACCCTACACTTTCCTAGAACAAAACGTTGTTGACCTGTGTAATAATTGATTAGCGCTTACACATATGTTAAAAAGTGTTTGGCCGAACTTCTCCAGCGATTTGTGACGTGCGCCTTGATGTTGTCACACAAAGGGGAGGAACCTATAGTTTTACGCCGACTCCGCACGGCGATTGTAATTTTATGAGAAGCTGTTTTTTCATGGCAAAAATACACTCGGAGGTTTGCCATTGCCTGCCGAGGGGCGACCGCTATTATTTCTATTAATATTTCTTTCTATTTATTAGTGCGTTTTGACAACATCATTGCGAATGCCCAGTTTGTAAAGGTATTTAGGTTAAAATCATATCGTCGTTTAAGCTACAAAATCGCGTATCGGCGTTCTGCAAAACCGCGTAACTGACATTTTTGCCAAAAATTGGATTTGCTTACCGAAGCTCTTGGCTCAAGCCTTATCTATTCGTCCTGAAATGTACTAGCCAGAAACGCGATTGCTTTATAAAAGAGAGATCAATTTTGAGGTAGGAATGTTTTTTACTCTCTGTAAAATATTTTATGCAACTTCAAATACGCGGTTTTGTACTTTAAACGACAATATATTCTTAATATCAAGATATATACTCGCGGCACCTGCAACGTAAACTCAAAAATATTTAATTTAAAATCATAATGCAAAAAAGAAAATGGCGGTATGGCCATTTCGGGAACAGTAATTTCGGCAACGTTCCCGGACCACGGCGAGCAAGTCAAACACACTTTAAATATTATGTTTTAATTAAATTTGAGATTTTTCGGTAAAAACGTTCCCGAAATACATAACTTTTTAGCCCCTCATTCAGTACGTTTCGCGATAAATTAAAAAATATGGTCAGTTCGTGCTCTACCCAGTCATAAACTAAATTGACGACGACATAATTCAAGTCGTAACAGTGTAAAATCAATTTAATAATAAATATAAAATGTTTGCTTTTACCGCAACTAAATTCTCCACCTCCATGATTTTGACCCATATACGATTTTTAACTTAAATCGCCTCCTCGAAATCCCTTCGAATCAGTCTAATACTTTACATTTCTCTGTCTATACATATTAAAACGAATAATAAGTATATTACAACAAATAATTTAAGTATTGAAAATATGTATATAAGCAGCATTTGTTAACGAATTTTCATTATTAAAAATAGATGAAGAGACTGGTTGTTCTGTAAGTGATTATACCATTTCGATACGTCGGCGGTGGAATTATGAAAACAATTGCGCTGCAATTGTTTGCTACGTGTCGACAGGTAAGCTTAGTAATATAAAATGCATTGAAATAAAAAAAATTAAAAAAGCTTGCTGTACAGGCTTGGCATCATCAACCACACAATTGACTCAATTAAGCGAGGATATACTAAGCAATCATTGCCGACTTGCACAAATCCTTAGTGCCGAAAATCTCGACGAAATATTAACATACACAGTTAACCGATTGCTCAAAGATTATCCTATCGCGAAACGAATAACAGACTCAAAGGAATCGGACCATATTCGAGAAACAGACGATACTACCCATTCGAATTCTGCAGCAAACAACAGCAACTTAAATAACACATGCTTAGGTGGGGATAATTTAACTGCCTATTACATACCAGCAATTCACCTGAAAGTGTTCTACCAAGTAACTGCTGCACCGTCCGTGGAATTGCTGCTGAATGCACTTTATGATTTTCGGCTTAAATGCCAGGAGACCGCCAACATTGTATACACCGTTTTGCCCGCCTGTAGTTTACACAATTTTAGTACTTTCTTATCTATATGCGGTGTACGCCATGAATAAATACGAATTACGACGCCACAAGACTTATTGTAATATTACATTTTATCTACATATGTACACTTAGTTAAAAAACCAACTTATGCCATCGAACTAAATATTATTCTTTTTTTTTTCAAAAAAGAACGTACACTGCAGCTCTACTTATATTTTTTGTTATAATATTAATGTATGTTTCCGACTTCCTACGAAGCAATATGGCAATGAAATAATGAATGTTAATTTTTAACACTTTTTTAAATACTTACATACTATGTATTCTTTATTGAACGGTTTGCAGTAATATAACACGGTGCACAGTGGGGCAAAAGAGGTTGCTGTGGACAAATGAATTTTGAGAGCCCAAATATGAACCGATTTCAAGTTTCTTTTCTTTAAATAAGATATAATTAAATTTCGTGTCGATCTATCCGTGGCGATTTTTTTTAGGAAAGGCCCTAGTTTTATTTATTTATGTTGAAAAATGAAAGAAACAAAATTTTTACGTTTGAATGCTTCCAATTTTTTGGAAAATACTTGAAATTGATTTCAAATGCTTGGAATTATTTGAAAAATTATTCATAAACATTTTTCCATAGGACACATTTAATTAAAAAATATATTTCATTTGTTATCTATACTATTATATATTTTGAAAGCCGTTTTTTTTTTTGGTTTTTTTCTGTTCGAAAAACTCGAGAACAGCTGTACCGATATATTAGAAATTTTAGACATCGACTTCAGACTATCCAAGGATGATAATAGATGAAAAGCAATTTCGATATATCAAGGGGACGTGGCACCTCCCATACAAACTGAAGTTGTCACACAACATATCTCTGGAAGTATTCATCGTAGAGTGATGCAACTTAGTACAGAAATATATAATATCAACGCCAAACTTATGGAAAAAATGTGAGTTATTGAAAAAGGGCGCGTGGCACCTCCCATACACACTGAATTTCTCGCACCACATATACATTCTAATGTGAGAAATTCGGTTTGTATGGAAGGTGCCACGGCCCCTTTTTCAATAACTCCCACTTTTTCCATGAGTTTGGCGTTGATATTATATATCTCTATACTAAGTTGCAGCACTCTACGATGAATACTTCCAGAGATATGTTGTGTGCAAACTTTAGTTTGTATGGGAGGTGCCACGCCCCTTGATATATCGAAATTATTATTATTCTATTATCATCCTTTAAGGGTCTAGAGTCGATGTCCAAAGTTTCAAAAATATTGGTACAGGTTCTCGAGTTTTTCAATTAGAAAAAAACGGCTTTCAAAATATATGTATATCAGTATAGATGGCAAATTAAAAATATTTTTTAATTAAATGTTTCCTTTGGATAAATGTTTATGAATAGTTTTTTAAATAATTGCAGGCATTTGAAATTAATTTCAAGTATTTTCCAAAAAATTGGAAGCATTTCGACGTACACATTTTTTTCTTTCATTTTTCAACATAAATAAATAAAAAACTAGATTTTTTCTAAAAAATCGACACGGATAGATCGACCAGAAATTTAATTATCTCTTATCTCTTTTTTGCCCCACTGGGCTGTGCTACAAAAAAAAATGGTTACATGTATTTTTTATGTCACGCAGTAGAGGTGGTAGACAGGTCTAAAAAATAAATGTAGCATTAGCAGAATTTCAAATACACCTCCAAATTATTAGCTTAACATCAAAAACTGAAAATCGGGATGCTGGGTCAAAACACCGGTCATGATTTGGACAGTTTTCAAAGGATTCTCATAATTTTATGTTGGTTGAAAAGCGGAAGGTTGTATCTTTCCACTGCTGTTACGAAATTTAAGTTAAGTTGATAACCATTGACTCCGTGAACCAAAAAGCTTGCGAAAAATCCGAAAAAATAGTAATGGTGACCCAAGTAACTTAAGGTTTTAGGGGTGGATTTGAAATTCTGCTAATGCCAAAATTATTTTTTAGGCCTGCTCTACTACCTCTACTACACGGCATAAAAAGTGCATGCAACCATTTTTTTGTTAGCAACGTGTAATTTGCGAAATTTTCCGACAATAAGTTTAAAATTTTATCGATAGTGTATGCAGTATAAAGTTCCATACTAAAAATTAACTTTAACGTTCAATTGTTTAACTGAACTGATTTCAAATTGATTACAGAAAAGATCAAACATTATGTAGAGGGATTTATTTCGGTTGCTTCGGTTAGCATAAAATAATTTTTGTACGATTTATTAAAATAAATAAAATGTTGAATGTGCTAAAATTGTCTTAATAAATATTTAACAAATTAAGAAATGTTATTTTAACAAAAACCTGTCACTCCTTAAACTATTTTAATTTTTTCTCAAATATACATACTTTAAAGCTATACTAAAATACTAAACAAAAAACTTGGAATCATAACTCGCAGGTTAAAATATACGTATATGTCTTACTACGATTTAAAACCAGAGACCCAAAATAATAATTACCCTAATATTTGAGATCAAAAACGTTTTGTTTTAAACGAAATTTTTTTTGTCTTTGTATAATAATTATTTGCGAGAAATATCTTTTTTCGTCTCGTGGGATGATTATTTTCAGATGGACATTATTTACGTCTTTTCATAATAATTATATGGGATTTTTATTTTTCTCGTCTCTCGGGATGTTTATTTCAAGACGAATATTATTTACGTCTTCTCATAATAATTATGTGGGACTTTTATTTTTTTCATCTCGCGGGACGTTTATATCAAGACGGAAAGGATTTACGTCTTGTCATAATAATTATGTGGGACTTTTATTTTTCTCGTCTCTCGTGGCGTTTATTTCAAGACGAAAATGATTTACGTCCCACGTTTTCTCTTAATAGAAGCGGTACATGTTAAATATTTAACTCGTCAAATCTCCGAACTCAATTAAGAAGTTTCATTCTGTTATTTATAATTATTAGGAGAAGACGTTAATCATTTCCGTCTTAAAATATACGTCCCGAGAGACGAAAAAAAATAAAAATCCCATATAATTATCATGAAAAGACGTAAATAATTTCCGTCTTGAAATAAACGTCCCGCGAGACGAAAAAAAATAAAACTCCCATATAACTATTATGAGATGACGAAAATAATTTAAATTTTAAAATAATCGTCTCGCGAGACGAAAACAACTTTTCCGTTGTTCAGTAATTATAGAGCAATATTTAATTTTATTTCTTATAATCGTTATGGTCTCTGTTTAAAACACTTCACTATTAATTGACTGCTCGGTTAATTGTTAAAAGCGCAAATTAATAATTGAAATTTTGTGTTTTGCGTCCTTGCGTATTTAGCATTGCTACATAAACCAAAACAGTCAGTCATGTAATAGTTATACTTAACCTCACAAAAACTACAAAGAACGTAAATCTATAAGAAAAGACAACACGTTATACGTTTGTAGATGGATGAAAAGAGAAGGCACGCCCCTGATGTTTACACTCGCTACAATTATAACGTGTTGTCTCTTCTTATAGATTTACGTTCTTTGAAAACTATAAAAATAGTTATTCTCGTTTTTTAGTGAATAAATACACAAAACGTTTATGAGTGGAAAAATTTAAAATTATGATGAAATATACAAAGAATAACTGCTAAAAGCGATAAAAGTGAATTATTATTCCCAATGCATATATGTTTGTATATATGCACATACATTCAGTAAGTAAATATTTATTCAATAGTCCGAAATCATCATGTTCTGTTCAAATATCCCATTCTCACAGAATATTTTTAATAGAAAATTAATAATATAAATAATATATATACATATATACATATACATATAGTATATGAAATCAATGTCATACTCTTGGAGAAAAGGGGGCTACTGAAAATGGGTGCGGGGCGCCTTCCAAACATACTGAAACTTTCAGCTATCTTACTCTTTTGTACGTTTGTTTCTCCTAAAAGGCTTTTCCGTCGATCGTTTGACTTCAAAATTTTACCCGCCAGGTGGCGTTGGAGTCGGGGTATTGCTAGAAATCGTATATATGATCCAATTTGGCCCATATTCGAGATATAACACAATAAGTTTTCAAATCTTACAAACTACCATTAAATTTAAAAATTAGACAAAATATCCCTGTGTTTTAGATATCGAAATGCGTAGTGAAAAGATCTAGGTACGGTATGTAAATCGCGATTCGGTAATACCCTTCAAAATGCTTCCGAGTGATTTGAATCTGCTGTGTTTCGTTACCTTGTATGAGCGAAACTAAACGATACCGAAACTTTTGCTATTATTTGCGTTCTCTGATGATATTCATTGAATTATTTTGCCAAACCATAACTAAATAGAGGAGCGAAGGGTTGTTTTTGTTTTTGTAGCGGTTACCAAACCCCGCTCGGGTCGGTTCATCCATCAACGTTGTCGGCTGTTTCAGCTAAAGGGAGGCCCAGGAAGTGCACAACTTCAATAGGATCTGTCCATAGGGACAGGGGCGTTAGCTGTGTGGGGTTCTGGGGGCATGCGAAGAGTCATGTGGCGACTCTCCGCATGCGTGACATTGGTTGGGCACATCCTCGTTTATTCTGCTCAGGTATGAGTTCGGCCTGCTACAATAGCCAGAGCGAAGTTGGTCTATTGTGGTGCGGGTCTCCCGAGGCAGACAAAGTTCTGTCCCGTCCACGTCAGATAGTTGTGTGCCCAGAAAGCCTTTACAGGTCGAGAGTCTACGTAACTTTAGACCGACTCCCGTGAATGCCGTTCAGGGCCTGTCTGTAAGCAATTGGGTCCAGCGGTTGTTTGATGAACCTCTGGACTTCGTCCGTCAGTTCGTAGAGATGCCTCCTGACATGCCTTGGCGAGGGCTCTTCTGCAAGCAGCTGTCTATTTGGATGATCACGTCTGTGGCTCTCTACCAGAAGCTGCAGAGCATTTTGTTATGCTCCTTGATTGGGAGCATTTGGGCCTCGCCGTGAAGATAGTGTTGGGGCGACATCAGAAGGCATGCCGTCGCTGTCCGGAGTGCAATGTTCCGGCAGATCTGTAGCTTCATCCACTGTGCCCTGCCAGTCCCCGGCGATCACACGGGCGCTGCATAATTTAGAACCGGCCGGCCAATTGCCTTGAATGTTGCCAGCAACATTTCTTTGTCTTTGCCCCAAGTGCTGCCGGCCAGCGG